AGGCCTTTCTAGTATTCCTCCATCTACCAACTCATTTATCATCATTGTCAAAATTATCACAAAATTCACAATCATATTCAGGTCCACACATTTTCTTTGTTTTTTTAATTGATAATAAGCTGCTAGTTAAAAGCTAGAAAGATAAAACATAAAGAAAGTAATCAGTTCGAGTAGGGTATGTTCTTACTTCTGTCATACAAAAGAAAAAGTTCACAACTTTTAGGAGCTGTGTGGAGTATCTTTTGAGAGCTTAGGATGAGTGTGCTATCTTGGCCAGGTAATATGTAACATCCCAATTTAAATTTTAATAGTTAATTTGGATTAATAGAAATTTTAAAAAAAAAGAAAGGAAGAAGAAGAAGAAAACGAATTTGCTTCGTCCGCCGCCTCAACAGTAACAATAATAAAATAATAATAAAAAAGAAGAAGAAGAAGAAGAGAGAAAATAATTAAAAAAATGTGGGACCCACTGAATTTTTATAAAAACTCATATGTTCCTTCATTTCTTCATTCCTTCTTTCGTGCGTGAGCTTCAGCAGAGAGAGCATCTGTGAGCCAAATTCACCGGTGCAGGGTTTTAAGGTAAGAGTTTTTAATAGGATATTTAGGATGTGATTTTAAACTTTTCAAGACTAAGTGTTCTAAAATTTTTTCTTAGTCATCCTTTTTCTTTTGTTTCTGAGTTTGTAGTGGTAGAAAATTTAAGATCTGGAAGAGGGATGAATTTATGTTGAATAAATATGGTTTTTGAGGTTGTTAGTAGTATAATAAATATTCTAGAGTATAAATTTATTGGTGATCTTTGAATTTGTGGCTTATGGATCAAATTCTAGACTAGATCTGAAAATATATGTTGATTTATTGAGGTTTAGATGATTATTTGAGATGAGAAATGAATTATTATGGCTATAGGATTATGATTCTAAGCTAGAGACTTAATTTTTAATTTTTGAGTATTTTAGGTACGAATTTATGAAATAAAAAGAAAATTTTAATAATAGAAATTAGTTTAGAAGTTGATTTTTAGATTATTAATGTTTATTGATAATTAAAAGAGGAGTTAAAAATTATACTTAATAGTATTAACTATAGATTTGTATTAAGATTGAGATTAGGAATTATGTTATATTTTTAATTCTATTATTAGAATTATTTTATTAGTTTCAAAAATTGAAACTAATATTTATAAATAATATGTTATTTGTAGATTGTATTACTGGTGAAGATTGTGGTGAGAGAGAAATTTTAAGGAATAATTTATTGAAAAAGCCACAAGGTAACCATGCTTTTAATTTGTGATTTGTGTTACTTCATGTTAATTGGGTGATTATTAAGAAAATTATAAATTTTGTAATATTATATAATTGTGCAATATTATTATGAATTTATTTGATTATTGTGGGAGGTGTTGGGAGACTTGTTATTGTTGTTATATTTATGTGCCACGTGGTACGCTCCTATTGGAGCTCAATAGGTGGTTTGTAAGGACTCGGGCTAATCTACCTTTGGCCGGGTAATTTAGTACCGAGTGAGGGCTACGGCTCGAGGTTAATGGAGGGATATAAGGATGGTTGTTTGTGTGTATTGTAATATTTCTTATATTTGTTGGAATTATATTATTTTTAATTCTCACTTAGTAAGCACACACTTAACTGTTTGTATACACTATCATAAATTGGCTTTGGTTACTGGGACTTTTGAGTCTCATTATGTGGTTAACAATTTTCAGGAGAAGAGCCACGAGTGACACGTGGAGGAGTCCCAGAGGCTTAGTGGTATAGATCCACTGTCTCTTTTGGGTATTTAATTTATGATTTATAATGTATTATATTGCCAATATTAGGGCTTTTTGTTTATTGTCAATTATATGAATATATAAATGTAATCATGCCTTTCAAACTATTTCTATTTTTAGTACAATTTGGATGACTGTAATTTTAATATTTGGTTTACTTTGGATTGGTTAAAATGGCATGATTATAAGGTCAAATAACTGGCTTGTGTTGAAAATTTGTTAAATTGCTTATTTTACTTGTTGGGAGTATAAGGATGGACAAATGTGATTTAGTTTACTTGTTGGGAGTATAAGGATGGACAAATGTGATTTAGCCTAATGGCATGTGGGAGGTAAAAATTTATCTGAAATGTTAATTATAAAATATTTTATATTGAAATTATTGATATAAAAATGTGTTGGGTGGCTGTAACCCAACTATGGTTGAGTTAAATTATTTAAAAAAAAAATTTGGTGGTGTGTTACATAATATGCATAGCAATTTATCTCACAAGACATAAAGATGAGTTTGATATCTTGATAAGTCTATAAAAGGGCTTGTGACTAAAATCTCATCATAAAAAGGATGGTCAAGAGCAATTCCTCTATAGATGATATTTATGGCATTAATTCAAGTACATTTATACCGTTCCACTCAATTATTTCTATATAGGTCAATGCCACATTTTATGGCTTAAATTTTAGTAATAGTAATTGGGATATTGCCTAAATTCTTTTGAAAACCTCTAACCATTCACTTGTTGAATTTCTTGCTAGTCCCCCGTAAGCAGCATTATTGTGCATGTTCCTAAAAGCATCCACATCCACTCATATGACTCCTAGTAGTGGTACAGACTACTTAAGATCATGGGTGTGCTCCTTGACTTGTTGTGAGGAGTTAAGTTATAATAAATCACGTTCTTCCATCAAGTATCTTTTACACCTTAAAATAAGTCCATATCTAGAATATTAGGTACCTTCAAAAATTACTTTACATCTTGTCATTCATAGAAGCTAGCATATATTGGTGAACACCTTTATCTATTGCTAGTATTTAAAAGAGTTTTTAGCAGGTTTATGTGCTGAGTTTCATAAAATCCAATCCTATAAATCACAAGAAAAGAAAAAGTCATAATAAACAGGTTTAATCACTCTCTCCTAAAGCTATTTTGCTCTCACACATTCTCTCAAGATATGAAGGACACTTTCCTCACAGTCACACTCAAACGGGCAGTTAGGATCAGTTGTAAGTCCTTTCTAGGCACAGATAAGGTTACTAGGAAGTCTCTCATATAAGATTTTCCATAGGAAGTATTTTAATTTTTTGGTAACAACCACTTCTATAAACGCTTTCACATCTAATTGGAATCAACCAGCAGTCTATCTTCAAGAAAAAAATAAGCAGATCAGATTGAAAATTTGCCATTGTTAGATGATCTCCACTAAAAGATGTCATTTGATCCAGTAATTATAGGTTTACTAGTTGTAATCCTCTCAATGATGTTATTAAGGAAGTGACATTTTAACTTTTGCCATTTTTGAAGACTTGAATGAAGGAAGATATCACAAACTTTAGCTCCAGAATTAATGGGCTAATCGAACTTGGCCACATACTTAATGAGAGTTTGATCTAATGGAGCCCATTAGTCCTACCAAAAGCCAATAGTGTCATTATTTATGACTCTCTTGTTAATCCCTCAAGTGAACTTTTCCCAAATATTAGAGATACTATGCCAAATATGAGAGGCATTCCTCTTTCTAGTTATAATTGGCATTTCCTCTTGCCCACATTTGTATTTGGCTCTAAGGCATTTGACCTAAAGGGCATTCTAATTGTTCAGGAGGCCCTAACAAAATTTTAAGAGGAATGCCTTATTCTGGAGTTCAAGATCTTTTATCCCAAGTCTCCCGCATTGCTTCTGTCCTTTAATGATATCCTAAGAGATTAAATACATTTTCTTCTGATCTTGTCAATTAGTCTATAAAATTTTTTAACTAAGCTTCTCTATCTCCTTTAACACTTCAATTGGGATAAGCATTGTTTGCATGAAGTATGAAGGGAGGGAAGAGATTATTGATTTTATAAGGACAATCCTCCTTGCCATAATAAGGAAGCTACTTTTCCACAAGGATAACTTTAGCTTGAGTTTTTGAACAAGAGGTAGGAACATTCCCTTATTGATTTTCTGGTGAATGAAGGGAATGCTTAGATATTTCTTAAGGTTAGTGGTGAGTCCAACTCCCAAATTCTAATTCAATTGTAGGGCATGTTGAAAGCAAACACTTTTAGAACAAAGGAGCTTCATTTTGTTGAGATTCATTCTATGCCTTAAAGCTTTACAAAATTTTGACATAACCTTCTTAACTAATGCAACTTGCTCTAAAGAAGCTTCAAAGAACAAAATGAGATCACCAGCAAAAAAAAGATGAAAGATTAGTGGGCCTCTATTTAAGAGCTTCAAGGGCTTCCATTTCTTCTTCTCACAAAGGTTGTGTATCATCATTCCAAGTCTCTCTACACATAGGATAAAGATGTAAGGACTTAATGGGCTTCCTTGACAAATTCCTCGAGAGGGTTTGAATTCATGAGATTCCTCCCCATTCCAAAGTACCCTCATAAAAACTGTGTTGATACATGCCATAATGAGTCAAGCAAAAGGTCTTTCCAACCCAAGACCTTTTAGTGTGTTGTTGATGAACTCCCAATCAAGTCACACATTTTCAAAGCACAATTCTAGATAAAATGACTATTAACACATGATACATAAACCGGCTTAGCTTTCTCTATAAAAAAATTCAATAAGAAAATCACACTTGTACTAAGTATAGGCTAATATTATAGTCAGGATCCGGCTGAACGTTTGTTTCCGACTGAAAATCTGAAGGTCGTTTTTTTACTAAAAATGTGTTACCATACGAAACTAATTAAAAAGTTGTTTAACTTTTCTTTTTTGGTCAAAAAAGTTATTTAACTTTTCAGTAGGCCTTTTGTAAACAAAATGCAACTTCTCTTTAATACTTGATACACATAATATAAAAAACATTTTTTTAATATCAAATATTTTGTAAATAAAATGCAGGAGTTTTTGAAGCTTTGTTTTTATTTTAAAAATACTTGATTTTTGCGGTACACAAGTCCTCTACCGTCTGCATAATTAGAAATTTTTTTTAATTATTTTTTATAAAAAGCGGAACTCCACAAACCACATAAAAATCCGAACTCCGTCTTGCCTTTTCCCTCGCGCCGTCACCAATGGGTAGCTGTTGTGATGAAGGCAACGACGACGTTCTCAAACATCTGATGAATTTTCACTTGTCGCGCTCGTCTTCGTCGTCCGAAGAGAGCCTAAGCCGTTCTTCACCCTCCTTTGGCTGTTCTACTATAATTTCACCGGTGGATTCTGTTTTTCCAGCGCTTGCGTGCGGGGACATCCTCCGAACTATATTCGAGAAACTTCCAATTTCGGCGCTCTTCCGGGTGAGATGCGTCTGCCGAGTTTGGAACTCGGTGGCCTCCGAAAGGGATATTGTAATCAGAGCTTTCATGTCACCTTGGAAATTGAAGGGTGTGGTCGGAAATCCCTTGTCGGGAAGCTTTTGGAGAGACAATGGTTTGGCAAAGTTCGCGATTTCTCATCGGATTGTGCGTGGTGATACCGTTACCAGTCTTGCTGTCAGATACTCGGTTCAGGTATGTATGAATCGTGATTTTGCGGCATCTAGCTGTAAGCCCGTAATAGCTACTATATAATATCTATGGATGCAAATGAAGAAATGTATTTTGGTGCTTAATGAAATTCATATAAAGTGGTATTATGCTCTCTCCACAAACTTATCCCGGCTCACAATGCTTTCTTCTGTTTATTTTTGAGAACTTAGTCAACAATCGACGACAAATTTATTGAGTTCCAATCAGCGCTTTTATCAGTTTTCAAAGGCAGAATATATCAATGGTTAAATATGTAAAACATCAGCACTCGATGGGGTTTATCAGTTCATTAAGTTTTGATTTCAGGGAACTGAAATAAAAAATGGAGTATCTCGTTGTATTAATTGGTATGTTTGTTGCTATAGATTGGCCAAAGAAGCTCCGAAGTAGCTCGTAACTCTGACAGCCTCTTATAATGTAAATAGCTGTATTTGGTTATTTACTGTTGGTCTACTGCGGATTTAATAAATAGCTATTGTAATTCTACATAGTGTTGCTCTTCTTCCATCACCCCCTATTATGATTCTACATATTGAAGATTTTTGCATGATAGAGACAGAAAGCTCCCTGAATGCCAGCTTCCTTTCTGTTGGGTCCATCTCCGAGTGACAAATAATTTTAATGCAACTTTTAAATTGTATGAGTGATCGATTTCTAGAATGGGAAAGACAGCTGTTGTATATAGCCAAGAGGAAGTGAGCTATTAGGGTCAAATCATACTAAAATGCATTGAATGCTGTTGATGCCGTTTTTCTTGTACACTTCTTGATTAACTCAACGCCATCGTTCAGTTATGCCTTAGTGTACTGATACTTGCAGTATTATAATTTTCTTACTATTTTGCTGTAGCTTTCTTATCCGGGGTATGTGCTTTCCTGGTTGACGGCAATTTTGTTTTAATTGATGAACTGTATCGAAGTTTTCTTTTTTGGCAAGGCTAATTTTCATATTTTGATAGGTCATGGACATAAAACGTCTGAACAACATGATGAGTGATCATGGAGTATACTCGAGGGAGAGGCTATTAATTCCTATAAGTAACCCTGACATTCTTATTAACAGAACATGCTACATTGAGATGGATGACTGTGCAAAAAGAGAAGTAGCAGTAATATATCCAGAGGATGTACCAGACGATAGCTGCAGATATCTATCGGATAGAATGCCCTTGGAAGAAGGAAACAGAATATCCATGGTCAAAGGCAAGAGAAGGGTAATTGATTCCTTGAGGAGAAGCATGCAAGTTGACGGTGAAACTGCTCGATATTACTGGTCTATTTCAAATGGTGATCCTCGAGCTGCGCTTTCTGAGTTTTCTGCGGACCTACAGTGGGAGAGGCAAGCTGGACTTTCCTAATCCTTCCTTGGAATATAAATTGACATTATTCTGCCCGAGTTTGGAGTGCTTAATATGTAATTAATAATAAATTAATTAGTATATCATGCTGGATGGGCAAATGTTTGCTTTAATAGCTTTCCTTCTCTTCAGCGTATCTCTTTCTGATTATTGAGGAGAGCTCACATTGTTGATTAACATCGACCATATTTGTTCTTTAATTTAATGAAGATCTGAGTGACTCATTTCCAGTTCTTGTAACATTTTAAGTGTGTGTATATTTTGAGGACAATCACGAAGAGAACTGGTTGAAAGTCTTGGCTTTCACCAATGGCGATGGTGTGGATCAATATTAACCATCAATATGAAAATAAAATTTATAATAAAGTATACCTTTTTTGCAGGTCATGAATGGGGTTCAAACTTCATATGATAAATCGGTGGGTTGCATAATTTCCTCTGTAAGAAAGTATATTAGTAACCACATTAGCATACGAGTGAAATTATTATGTTAGTGATCACGTTAGCATATGAGTGAAATTTTATACCATTTGGGTATATTCGTGTCATGTAGGGTGCAAAAGTTAGGGGCGAGCAAAGCCAATCTAAAACTAAAAATCAAATTGAATTTTTGTTATTTGATTTAGTCTATCTAATTTTCTAGTTTGATTTATTTATTTTTAAATATTTTGATTGATGAGTTTGATTTATTTAGTAAGATTTAAAATTAAATGGATTGAACCAGCCAAGTTATCATGCATATATAATTTATAAATTATATTTAATTTATTAATTATTTTATTTTATTTTATTTTTTTAATTTTATAATTAAATAAAAGTAAATATATAATTTGATAAGTTGAAACCCTAACTCCTCATTAAAATTGATTACTATCACTTTACCACCCCAATTTTATATATAAGTCTCATTTATTTTAATAAAAAAAATTGGCTCAAGTCGAAATAGTAAGATATGAAGCTGTTTGATTAAACTGGAATGTCAAATTTTAATTTGGTCCTCATTGAGTTCGATTACTTTGTCTAGTTCGATTTGGTTCATATTTTTAATGTTGTTCGATCAATTAATTTTACACATTTTGGTATCAAACCAATTGATACTCACCTCTAGCAAAAGCTCTTCTCCAAGTAAACAGTAATCGTAGATCTTATCGTTCTACTTGTTAAAATCATGTCAGAAATGATGGTTTGTATTTTCAACTTGAAACAGTCCATATCTAATCTCGTAGTTTATAGTTTATGCCATCAATCAAAGATGATCTCGCAGCTAAGGAATGCATTGGTTGTCTTAGTACACTAGATCTATTCTAGTGTTCACAATGTTTTTTTTTTTTTGGTTACGTAATACACAGAATGATACTCTTGGAAGGTAATGTTAGGCCTCATTTGGCATGCAAAAATTCTACACATGCTAACAGAATTTGATATAAAATTTGGATTTCAGCGGGTTAAGTACAGTAGCATTTGCCATTTGGATTCTCAAGAATTTTAATTCCAACAAAAAAATTGGATTCCATCACAAGCTTGATGGAATTGACTTATTTCACATGGCATCATCTCTTTGACACGTTGATCCTCATAGCCACTGTCATTAGGGATGAGCAAAATCAAATTGAAATTAAAAATCAAATTGAATTTTTATTATTTGATTCTATTTATTAAGTTTCTTTTCTAGATATTTTGGTTAATTGGTTCAATTTGGTTAGTAATATTTAAAAATGAACAGACCAAACTAACCAAATTATCACAAATATATTACTTATTAATTTATAAATTATATTTAGTTTATTAGTTACTTTATTTTATTTTATTCTGTTTAATTTTATACTTAAATGAAAGTAAATATATAATCTAATAAGTTGAAACCCTAATCCTTCATTGAAATGGGCTACTGTCACTTTACAAGCTTGATTTTATATATAAACCTTGTCTCAAGTCCGAGCGGCCTAACATAAAATATAAAATCAAATTAACCAATCAACTTGAATTGTCAAATTTTAATTTGATTTGATTCAATTCAATTTATATTTTTAGTATTCTTCATCTAATCAATTTTACACATTTTAGCACTGAACTGAATTGAACTGACCAATGCTCATCCCTAATTGTTATCACATTTGCCTTCACACACCTAACTTCATCCCCACCACTAACATCTCCTCCATAAATATAACTTCCTCGGCTTCAAGCTTATAGAGCTGTGACACCAAAGGAGGAGTTGTCATCTTTCATCAACGATAGTGATTTTGGTGGTTGTAAATTTGATTGTTAGCCAACTTGTTGCTTGTGTCAGCAGGGAGTAAGCAGACGATTGAAGTCAATTCCCCCTACCTAGCAATGTCGTGACTTCGATTCTCCTCCACCTCTTCAACCTCGTATCCTCCTCTAATCTCTACCTTCGGTGGACAACATCCTTGCTTTGAAAATTTCCTAAATGATATTTTGTTCCTTGTTCTTGTTCTTGCTTTAAAGTCCCAGACTCCATGTGCTTTTTGGTCCGCTATAGGTTATTGTTCTTTGTTCAAACCATGTTATGTTTTTTCATTTAACATTATGGCTGATTTTATTCTTAATTAAAGGATCATTTGGTATGAAAAGGATTAACAAAATGTCAAATCAATAACATTTTTTATTCTATCATGTGAGCTTGCATGGACCATATTCAATTGACACTCCACTGGTTGATTCCTTGAATGATTTACACACACACGCACGCACGCACACAAAAATTCCTTGAATGATTTTGCTTTTAGTGGATCTTAGGAAGTTTGAATTAAGCTGCAGATTGGGTTGCCAACGTTTGGATTGGGCTGGGCTCCCATTCCAGGTGGCTCGCCTCCGAGACCTTTCTCCTCTGGGTTCTAGGGATTTGACTCTTAGAATCTTCTATTGCTATCCTTGAACTTTTCGTTTTCTGTTGTTTTTTATTTCTGTTTGGTCCTTTTGCTTTTTGGTGCTGGCTGTTCTTGCTGTTAAACTTCAGTTATCGTGTTTCTTGGTTTTTATGACTAGTATTAACTAGTATTAATATTTAAACTACAATACTGAATTAAGTTATCACCTTAAAAAAATTTAAAGACAAAAAATAATTGACTCTTTTTTTAAAGGAAAAACTCGGGTTGATTAATAAATTAATTGATTGAAAACACAAACGTATAGAAAATGAAACTTAGTTGACTATTATCGACTTCTTACCTTTAATCTATATATGTAATAGAAGAATAAGAAGCATATTTCTATAGACAACAAGTGTCATTTTCTTCAAATACTATGATATCAAAAAGCCATGTAAGATTTCATTTATAAAATTAGTTTTAATTCATGAATATAATTTATTTTTATTCCTTTGTTTTAATAACTTCTTAATCTATGATCTAATAATTTTTTAATCCTACAATTTCTCTTTTAGATATGGTTAGTTATTCAGTATTATATTATTTTAATAAATTCCTTGCTTTACAATTAATTTTTTTATTTTTTTAATTCATGCATATAATTAAATTTAAATATGGATAATTATTTAAATTATTCATTGTGGTAACTTCTTAACCAATGATTTAATAATTTTCTAAACCCATGATTTCTCTTTTAGACATGGCTAGCTATTTAGTATTCTATCATTCTAATAACCTTCTTACTCAATGATTTTAATTTGTGATTTTTTTAATTCATGCATATAATTAAATTTAACTATGGATAGTTATTTATATTATTTTATCATTCTAATAACTTCTTAGATCTATGATTTACATAAAATTTAATGAGAATATATATATATATATATATATATAATAGATAAATAAGAAATATTTTTTCAAGTTTGACACGTATGAGTTTTTTTTAATGTTACAATTCTATGCTATTTACATTATTATTAATTTTTAAAAATATTTTTTCTAATTTATAAGATTGTAATTTAAAAATATAATTTCTCTTCCATGATCTCAAAATCTCAAATATAATTTCTCAACTAATTCATAATTTAAAATTTTATTTTTAAAAATTTTATTTTTAACATTTTCTCTCATGATCTCAAATATAACTTCTTGAATATTGTCATTTTGTGAATAATTTTAAATTGGTATGATAATTTTATGAATAATAATTTAAATAATTTTTTACAAATTAAATCATAAAAATAAACAAATAAAAACTGAATGATAAATGCATGAATTAATAAAATGTTTATAAGTTATCCATGTCAACATTAATTTCTAAAAATAATTTTTTAACATAATACCAAAATTTTTTTATAGATGATAACAATATTATCTTAAATTATAGAAATAACTTCCTTTTACCCCTAAATTTTCTCTCCCATGATTTTATCTATTATCATAACTTCCCAACTTCTTCACCATCTAAAATATATAATTTCAGCAATGCACGTTAGATATTCTATTAAATCTTCTTAAATACTAAAAAAGTATTATATTTAAAATTAAATGAGTTATTTTAATTCTTATTTTTTCTCATTTCTCTCCCACTCTCCTATCATCACAACTTCCCGTAATTTTTTCTTCTTATTTTTAGCTTTAAAATTCTAATTACACAAATACACGATCACATTGAACAATTATAAAGCATACAAGATTTTTTTTCAATCCTAATATCATTCAATTGCTCCATTCCCTCATCAAGACAAGCAGAATCACAAAACTATCATCATCTCTGGCTTCTCCCTTCATCATCAATGTCCTTTCACCCCTTGTATTATCTTTTATGATAATTTTTCATTCTTAGTCAATGGTGTGATGAGGTTGTTATATGCTTGTAAATATCAAAAGAGCAATTCAATTTTTGATATATTTCATATTCATAGTAGATACCAGGTAATTGCACATAAGCATGCATTTTATAATTTTTTTTACCGAATTTTCCTCCATCATTCTAAATCTGTCTTTCATAAGTAATAGAATCGAAAAAACTTACTGTAATATATTTTTGTGAAGTTATGATTTCATAGAATTTAATTTTTAGTTTTTGGAATATTTATTGTAAATTGTATGATGATTTGTTAATTATTTTACAACTCTGTAAGTATATTAAAATTGAATGAAGAGGAAGAGATACATTGACATGATTCTTTACATCAACGCAAAATAATTATTGTTTCACTTTTCATATATCTTGGCTCTTGGGCATCTCTTTATAAATCTTTTTTCGAAAAGCATACTCATAATAATTTACTCATAATGATTCAAATTTCTTAATTTCAAATGATATTTTAATGATCTATGTTTAATTTTAACTTTTATTTGAATTATAAATGTTAAATGAATTAATCAAATTTTAAAATTTAAAATTATATATAATTTGTATTTGAAGAAAATGACTTAACCATCAAATTTATGTTTTGATCTTGATGATATTTTATATTGTAATATCTCAATTACAAAATTTGAAAATATTAATGTTTGCATTGAAAATTAAATTTTTAATATATATCAATATTTATTTGTTGATATTTATAAATCATAAAAATTATAGTACTTTAAAAAAATTTCTACCCTCACATGATTTAATAGAAAAGATGGAGCGATGCAATTTTTATATTTACCTTATAATCTTAATTTTTCATCGATTATATGTGAAAAAAACATTATCTACTATCTAATTATTATATAAACCTATAAATGATAAAAAAAATACAAAATCACAATATCAACACAATAAAAATAATAAAATATATTGTGATTTACAAAAAAATATTTCAATGCGGTAGCTTTTCTACTAGAGTAAAAACAAAATAAAGTAAAAAAAATTGATAGATAACTCAAAAAAAAGAGACGAATGGTATGGAGATAGAGGCCATTATAATTTTGGGCATTTGAGGATTTATGATAAATTATTTAATTTTTATTTTTATAATTCTACACTCATTTTATTAGTTAATATTATAATTTATTTTATGTAAACTTTTTTCATTTATATTGATTAATATTTTAAAATAAAATTATTTGAAGTTACAAAAATACATCATATATTGCATGGGTATCATACTAGTGATTTTAAAAGTTTATTTTATGGCTCGTGCGAATGTGAGAAATAGCTTCTCTATCTCCTTTCAAGCTAAAGTAAGTTCTTCCCAGTTTTTACAATGAAACATTTTTAAATTGATTGATGGTGCACGATTCATTGACTGACTTTAAGTTAATTGTTGGCTTTATAATCTAACTGTTCAAGATTCACTGACAAACTCGCAATAATTGATTAAGAGAAATTATATTTGTCTTGCGTTTCGAGTAATAAGAATTTCAAATCAAAATCTATTTTTTATTATATTTATTTATAGTTTCAATATTTTTATATTATAATCATTTGATATCTTATTCATTTCAAAACTCTCATTCCTTTCATGCTTTTATTGTTGATGTCTTTATAATTTTCAATTCTTTTTACATTTTCGTCTCTCATTAATTAAAAAATATAAATAAATTTATTATTTTTAATTTTTTATTTTCATTTCAAATCTCAACATATCTTTTTTTTATTTAAAAATTTTTAAATGATGCACTTACTTTAATTCATTTAACAATTTATGAATGGGAGAAGCAGTCTCTCGCTCTCGTTTCCAAGTTAGAAATTATAGGGAGAATTACCGTAAAATCTCATAAAAGCTACCTAATTAGTCTAAAATTCTAGAAAATGCACAAATAACCTTGAGGTTCTTAAGGCCCCATTTGATAGCTTGGAATTATGAAAAAAGAAATAGAATTGGACATGGAATCTGTTAACATGTGTGTTTGGTATGCAATAATTATGATTCTTTGGAATCAGGATTCAAGGAAATTTGGCAGAATCCAATTCCATCACATGCATCATGGAATCTAATTCCATGGTTGCCTTTCTCCAGTTTGCCCCTTCTCTCTCCTCCAATATAATTTTTTTTTAATTTTAAAAAGGACACTTTAGTCTTTTCTTATTTTAAATACTTATATTTTATTAAAATTATATCAGGATTTCATCATCATACCAAACACACTTTTAAATCTAATTATATTCCAATTTCAATTCCAATTTCGATTACGATTCCATTAAAAACTCTTCTATCATACCAAACATGGCCTAAGTTCTTTGTTGTAAATAATTTTTATTGTCGAATTATTGAGTTGCCCTTGACTTGGAAAAAAATGAAGCTTAAGATTCTCTTGTTTTACGTCAATGATCGAGACCAAATCATTTTAAATCTTCTTTGTTGTCTTCTTCTCCCATTAATGTTGATTGCCTTAATTTGATTCTCTTCAGGTTAATAAGCATCTTCATTTGATCCAACTCTCTGCTACATGACCATTCAGATTATACCAATAGAAGTAAACTAGAATACATATTCCTCTTTGTAATCTAACATGATAAGTTGGCAAGCCATGTGCTTGAGAAGAAGTTAACAAACTAATACATTAGAAACACAGAAACATAAAGTAGTAAAATCATGAATCCTACTGCATTCCCCTGGCCGCGTTGAGAATAGGAATCCATTCATCTTTCTACCCCGAGATGAAAATCGGAATCTAAAATAAACATTTGTTTTCGTTTTCCATGGCTATTCCCCCAATCTTATATTGAGAAAACTCTGACTTCAAACGCACTTATAAAAGAACTTACAAAAAAAAATTGTTATTGAGATGAAGCGTCCAACAGCCATTATAGCAACAGTAGAGAGAGTGGCATAGAAATCAAAGGTCAATAAGATGGGAGATTCGCGGGTCGATAAGAGAAATTCAACTAGTTCAAGGGAAGCATGGAATAAAGTGTATCAAGAAGCGAGATCTGAACTGGGCAACCGAGAGATAGAAGAGGAGAAGAAAATTGCTTAGCTATTTTGGATTTGGACGAGGTTGAAGCATTGAGAAGTGGGAGGGCAGTGAGAGATCCCATCGGATTGCAAGAAATCAACGAAGAAGGTTGAGTACAGAGGTTGGGATTGAACGGGATGGACGAGAGTTCGCAAAGATGGAAGAAGGATAAGCTGGAGCCCGGGAATTTTTTTCTTTTCTCCCAATAAAGGGTAATTTGGTAATTGGACAACAAAATTATTTACTGCAAAGGATCGAGGGACTCCAAGATTGTTTATACATTTCATGAGATTTTAGAGTGATTAAACAGTTTTTAAAGGATTTTACAGCAAGTCTCCTTAATGTCCTGTTTGATTGAAAAGAAGACACAGAAAAAAAAATATGGGAGGAAAACATAAAAGTAAAGAACTTTTTTTTTTTCTGTTTGGATAAGAGAGAAAAAGTGAGAGGAAAGAAAATAGGGTGCAGAGATTTTTTTTTTCCTACATTTTTTTTAACTTTTCTCTTTAAAAATAAAGAAATTTTGAGAGTAAAATTTCATTTTACCATCTACCCTCCCTCTTCCTCTTATCAGTTTTGGCGCCCAGACACTCATCTATTTTATTTTTTATACGTAGCAGTGCTCAAGGCTCCCATCTTTAATCAACCCAGGCAGCATCTTGGTCTTCATCGATGGCTTCGTCTTTTCCAGTGTATTCCTCACTGCAATTCCTTCATTCGTGGTCTTCATCTTTGAACAGAAAGTAAAAGTGCTCATTTTTATTTTTAAAATATGAAAATAACATATTTTTACTAAATTATTTAATTTTAAAATTTAATATAAAAATGCATTTTTAACTACTAATTTCATTTTAAAGTAATTTAATTATGTTAATTTTAATATAATTTTTACTTTTAATTTATTTTCACACCTATAATTACAGAAAACATGATATATTTTCATATAAAGACATTATAATTATTATGATATCTGTTTATTTTTTTTATCTATTCAAATAGAATAAGTGATAATATTTTTTTTTATTTTCTCTTCTTTTTATTTTTTAATTTTTCTTCCATGCAAAGGAAGGTAATTTATAATTTGGCCATTCAACACTTTTCATGGTTTAGACCAATGGGAGAACTCGCTTCTCCCTTAGGCTTCCAAGCTAATTTATAACCCAGCCGTTCAAAATTAACTGACAGTTTGACTCTAATTAATAGAGAGAAATTACATTTAATTGATGATTTAGCGGTTCACATGCTTCTGACAAATGGGAGAAATAGCTTCTCCCTCACGCTTTCAACGTAATTTCTTGCCAGATTTTATTATGTAACAGAAAATTTGTAAATTGATTGATGATTGGGATTGATTGATTAAATTTAATTTCGTAGTCTTCATCACAATCTAACTGTCCAATTCTTCCCCCATTAAATTCCTAGCCATAGAAGGGCCAAATTTTAACTGCCGTCAATGTCCCTCGAGCCTCACCGCATTCGGACGAATTCGGTGACCAGACGCGGAGCCCGTAATCTTTTCCGTCGCGCGTCGTCATGAGAGAGGGAATCTCCACAGCTTTGTCGAAGAGTTATACACGTGACTCATCGTCCTCCATGTTCTTCATTACTTTTTCATTCCTCCCTTCCTCATTCTTCGACCAGTCTTAACTTCCTCCAATCTCTGGTGGGGTTTCAATTTTCTCGTTGTCTCGTGCGGGTTTTTTTGGTGTAGCATCTGAGGGTCGAATGACACCATAAGTTGATTCTTCCAGAGAGGATGGCTTTGTTTTAGAACGTTCGTGGTTTCTCACGTATATTTGAATTTCTTTATTGCCTGTAAGTTAGCCGTTTGCTATTCAAAGGCTAGGAGTTGAGAAGTGATTCGCAGCACAGAGCTGCAATGTCAAACAATTGCTAGATGCCATCTCTTCTCAGCGTTAGAAAATGGTTGTATTCGACCTTACCTGCCTCTTGAAGCTCTTCCCGCCAACGGATACTCCAAAACAAGCTCTAAGAAATGTGTTAAGTTTAATCTGGAAAATGGAAGGCCGTGATCGAGTTTGAACGGGCGGTGCATTTGCAATTTTAATATCCTGGTGACGTGGCGTTTTGTGAACTTTTCGATTAGTTGGACGGATGGATTCATGGCCGCGCTGGATTTGCCCGCGCCGAGGAGCCGAACGCTTCCAAGCTAAACTTCTTCACAGTTCCCTTGCTACCTATAATTTTGACTCCTTCGTGTTGGTGATTTGGCGAAGGTTCAGAAAAACCGATGGCAGACTCACAGTGTAATTCGAAAATGTTCAGTATACGGATTGTGTCTATCGACTACTACATGGCACAGCCGATTCCAGGCCTGGATATCTGTTACAGTAGTTTCCATGGTACGATATTCGATTCATTTACTTTTAACAGAGAGTCAGAGATGTATTTGTCAGTTCAAGTGACACTCATTTGTAACCTAGTTCCATGCAATTAGCTTATGAACTAGAATTTGGGCTTCCGAAGGCACGCTTAAGCGAAATGAATGGCGCGGCTTAGGCAATAAGTAATGTCGGTCACGATGTTGAACAGTTGAAGAACATTTTCCTTTTGGGTTTATATCTTGAACTGAAAGCTATATGGTTTTTTCTGTTATTCTATAATTTCATGTCATGAATAAGTGAAAGTATTTCAAAGTTTCGGTTAGTTCAGAGGCGATGAAACTTATGTCTTGAGATTATGTTTTCTCACTCATACTTCCTATACCATCCTTTTTTTTTTAATGATTTAAGGTGGGAAAGTGAATGAGGTTCCCGTTATAAGAATATATGGTTCTACTCCAGCTGGGCAGAAAACTTGTTTGCATATACATCGGGTAAGATGTCACTATCTGAGGTTGTAACATTTGGTGATTAACAATAGGTACAAGTGGTAGCAAACATTGTTATTATCATAAATACATTATTAGATCTATATTCCTTGACGCTCTTTTTTGGTTTAAAATTATTCAATCATTCAATGTCGTTAAATTTACTTTATGTTTTCTTATTTAATGTTATGGCTGAAATATCCATATTATGCTCTGCAGGCTTTGCCCTACATATATGTGCCATGCGCTGATATACCTCTTCAGTCAGATCAAGAAGGTAAGATAAAGTTTAGAATTAGTTTTTTATTAAATTAATTTTTAGGGGCATTTCTTATTCTTTTTTTGGTAGAATTTTAGGGGCATTTCTTAAGTTATGCAGGACTTGTGTTTTCAAGCACTTCTTGGCATCTTAATTTTAAACTCAATTTATTTCATCCTTGTTAATTTCTCATAAATGAGAGTGTGTTCTGTTCATACCTGATGTGATAATGTCCATTAGCGGGAGTGCTTAACAATTTCAAATATTCCTGATGATGTTTTTGATTTGTTAAATTCTCAGAAGTATTCATGCTTCAGAAATATTTTACATTTTGTTTCGCAGCTTAATAACTTGAATGGGTTTTTCTTGATATTGAACAGGAGATGTGTACACATATAAGGTATCTGCATCTCTTGAGAAAGCCTTGAAGGTATCTTTGATCACGTAGATGAGTTTGACCTCTCTATCGCAATCTATTTTGCCGCCCTAGTTGTAGCTGTAATATTACAAATGGGGATTTAGTAAGCTTTTCTTCAACTTGCCCAGCTAAAAGGCAGCAGCGGTTTGACAAGACAACATGTTCATGGCTGCAGCCTTGTAAAAGCAAGGAGATTTTATGGTTATCATTCATCAGAGGAATTATTTGTGAAGATATATCTGTATCCTGATGCTTTATATTTGTTCTGTCCTTTGTTCTTGTTAATAAGTCATCACATGTGCGGTAAAAGCTGATGGCATGATGACCTGTAAAAGCTAAACTGATAACATGCTCTAATTATTGGAAGCCTTCACAAATTTTTCAAGATATTATCCACAAGATGTCTCCCGTGCTGCTAATCTACTATTGGTACAGTTTGATTAGAGTAAATTCTTTCATGAGAAAAATGGTCTTTAGTTTGATATGATGCAGTGAAGATTAAGCCTTCATAATGACACACCATTTTTAGGTCGGTGCTGTTCTTGGCAAAAGCTTACAGCCCTATGAATCACATATTCCCTTCATTCTTCAGTTTCTGGTACGTATCTCCACATGAACTATTCAAACTGCATTATTTTGCAGTGAGGTAAGTGAACATGATGAAGCGTTTTTCTAATTTAATTAGTTATATTTTCTGACTTAGGTAGACATAAGCATCTGGTCATAATTACCTGCTTAATTGAGTTGATCCAATATTATGTTTTCTTTTCTTTATTCATATGGTGGGAATAGCTTGGGTGAGTCTGTAATGTACAGAAACTGTCTTCTGAGCTTTGTGCTTGGATGTTGTTATTAGATATTCTTATGCTAATGTATCCTCATGCATGGGTTTGTTCTTATGGTATCACTATCTCTAATACGTAAACTTTAACTTTAAAATTAGAAAGATATTTTTAGAGGGTTGTTACTTAAATTTTAAAATTTAAAACTATTATCAATCTCCCTTTACTAATTAAAATAAGATTAAATGGGTTTGTCAAGATATGAGCTTTATTTGTTTGCCAGGTTGACTATAACTTGTATGGCATGGGTCTCCTGCACTTGTTAAAGTTGAAGTTCCGCCATCCTATGCCAGATTCTTCTCACAAGAAATTGATTTTCAATAATCAACAGACAGGGGTGAGTTGACTTGTGTGTCATAAAATTTCACAATCGCCCAAGACTTTTTCACTGTTTAACCTACCAATTTTATATCTAATTATGTCCCTCATGGACATTTATGATTCAGTTACATAATATTTTTAGGCTGATATGGATGGTGATGCGTGTTTAGGGCCAGCAGTGTGGGCCTTATCAATGGTCTCATCTGATTGGATGTGGCAACTTCCAAGTGAATTGGATGCTTCATCAAATCATGAGGCTCATTGCCCTAAACGTCAAAGCACATGTGAACTGGAGGGCGATGCTTCTGTAGATGGTTATATTATACTAACCCAAACATATTTACTTGAATAATAAGTTTATCTTATGACTGTTTTTTTTTTTTGGGCTGAAGTTATTGAAATAATTTGGTTTGTCAGAGATTCTTAATCAGCAGTTTAAAATGTATTCATCCCTCTCACAAACCCGATCAGATGTGCAAAAGGTTCAGTCTCTTGTGCCGATTTGGAAGGTAACATAGCCATCTGTCTTTATAAGACTTGCTTTACAAATTATACTGTCTGAGAAGTGAGAATGAACTAATTTAATTGCTCTGTGTTGTTTCAGGAGCAGCAAGAAAGGACTGGGATTTATGAGGATACTATAACTCCTGATACTGGGAAGCCACTGCCAGAAGTTGTTATGAGAAGTCTTTCTGGTGGTCTTGACTTTGAGAAAAAATTTGTTGAAATGTGCTGTGAAGCTGAAACCTGTGCATCTTTTATTTCATCTGAAGAGTTGAGGTTTGTATGAAGCCATTTTTACCATACAGTTATATAGTTCTCTTATATGTTTCAACTAGCAACACTAGTGGACAAATTTTATATTATTGCAGAGAAACAGACATAATAGGTTCAGCATCACCACCGGCTTCACTATGCAAAGATGCCAAATTGCATGAAGAAGGGACTGAGGCAAATCTCAGATTGTTGACTGTTGATGAAATGCAATCATCTGAGATTATTGGAACACAGGGCAAAAAGGCAATATTTTCTTTCCAATTTTTTAATGGATACCAAATGAAGATTCTTACCCTTGAATCTCTGAACATGTGAATAGATGATTGAATTATATGTTTGACATTCCTAAATGAATTTGATGAAAGTTACTTCAACAATTTGTTTAATGATAGGAACATCCTTGGACTAGCACTCATTCATGGCTCATGATACCTTGTTATAGTTTTATTTTATATCTGATATAGATGGGGTTTATTCAGAAGTGAACTGTTTCTGAAAGTACCTCATTTATATCTGTATTTCCATGTCTTTCAGGATGCAGATAAGGAAGCATTGAATCTCCTAAAGTGGCTTGCAACTTCTCAAGCTGCAGAGGATATTAACTCTGATGATGAACTTATTCGTGAAACCATTTTGAGTCCCTTGTTACCTGCTACAACAATTGATAAGGTGCTGGAGAAAGCTAATATGGATTACGAAAGTGAGTCCCAAAAGGAGTGTCAAGATATTCTTGATTCCATTGACGATCAACTTCAGTTGGAGTCATCAAAGAGAAAGCCACCTTTTTCCTCAAATTTTAATTGTCCTGTTGAGTCTTCATCAAACAATATGATTCCCCAAGTTGATGGTTCTGCCGATGATGAGTTTGCAAGCCCAAGTTCTGGTTCAGAGGGAATTTCATTTGCACTGGACAAAAAAGGTGAATCCAAGAGGTCTTCCAAACACTGTATACTGCAAAATACCAGAACAAATACTTATGGCAAAGATAACAGGAATAAAGTATGGGGCACTTTGCCATTGTCAATGACCCATAACAATTTTGATCATGCTAGTTTACATTGTGGCCATACATCTGAAAAGGAAACTGTAGAATCTGTTGACTCAGATTGTTTGGCCAGAAATGAGATGGAGAATAATGGCATAAAGAATGGGGATGAAGGTGTTTCAGACATAAAAGGAGTACAAACACTGGATAATTGCTCTGTGCGGGACTTGATGAGGAGAAAGAGATGCTATCGAGTTGAACAAGCTGACAGTGAATCTGAAATAACTAAAAAACTACATTTAGATGGGGATGAGAAACTGAAAACTGATGGAGAAACAGAAGTCCAGAAGAGCTGTGTTCTGAAAATGACCAATCATGATTTAGTGCGTAAGAAAGCACCCTTGTAGCTGGCAGTCAAACCGGACTGAGTCTCTGTGGACCGAAGAAGTTTCACTCTACTAGTTCTTCTGATTACTCAGAGGTTTCCAGTGGTAAAAAGTTTAAGGTTGACTCAACATATGTACAAACTGACAACTGTCCACAAATTGACATGGCAGCCTTAGGTAGTGTGCAAAGCTCTTCGATTGAGAATATACGGTCTGTCAGAGATAATTTCATGTATAAATGTCCTTATGGAAGCAAATCTTCTGAGCAACACGGTCAGATGAGGTCATGTGATATTGTGGTGGGTGCGAATACTGCAACTGACATTCAAGTATTGCAATGTGTAAAAAGTGATGGCAAAAGACCTAGAGAGAATTTGGGTTTTTATGAGACTAGTGGCATAGAACCTTCGATCAATGACATTATGCGTGATCACATGAGATTAACCTCTACAAGGGCATCTGCCATGGCAGGTAGGAATCCCTGATGTAATGTGTTCTTGTCAACCATGTCTGGTTCCATATGCCTGTGATATCTGTGTAGTGTGTCTTTTCTGTCAAAGTTGGAATGCAATCTCACTGTGCTAATTCATTTGCCCTTCTTTATACGTTTGTGGGGGCATAGAGCCTGCCATTCTGAGGGTGCTTGGTATTTAGCACTTCCATAGGAAACATTGAAAGGGCTATGTGAATTATCTACCTTTATGCGGAAATTGGATTATTGTTGCTGATATTTGATAGCAACTCATAGGGTAGCAAAAGTGTGCAGCTTCTATCTTTTTTGCTCATGGTCTAATCTTGGTTCTGGAGACATATGTTTCAAATGCTTGTTTGTTATTGTCCATAAAGTGTTGATGATCTAACGGAATCTCACCCCCCCCCCAACAAAAAAAAAAAAAAACTCCTGAACCTGGAAGTGACTAACTGTAAGTCTGTAACCCTAATTTATTTTCTAAACTCAGCTTTTTAAAACCGAACACTTTTCTTACTTTGTTCATTTTCTTTGTTCTTCAGCCTGATGATGCTGCCTGATTGATGAAACGTAGTAACTGACTATTACATTTGTCTGTTTATTGAAGTGAAACCTCTGGATGATGTTATTCCTGCTTTGCTGTTGTGTAGTTACCAAAATGAGATGGAAACTTGGAACCAATCATGTCGCCAATAATCCCCGGATCTAAGGGGAAAAGGGTCTTGGGTGTTGCCAGATACTATCAGAATGCTGGCTCTCATCTATGCCTATTGAAACCCAAAATTTTGCCTCCTTCTGAGGGTAATGTCGGAGATGGCTACTTTGCGACGAGAGAGGTATTACTTAAATCATGTAATCATGGACAAATTAAAGGATTTAGATCTTGTTTGGGAATAAATTAAAAGTATAAAAAATTCTTGCTGGCCTTTGCGTCTGAAAGGTATATTGTGTCTTATTAGAAAAAATTTCACGTTGCAAAAATTTTTTAGGATTATTAAAACTATCTGAAAAATCATTATTTAGCATATTTTTGGTTGATCCTGGCCTCTGCTTTCCAGATCAAATGTTTCAACAATCTGATGCAAAGGAGAAGCATATGCCTAAATGGAATACAAGACCTTGTTCTTTGTCTAAACATGTCCAAGATGTTGATTCTGAAAAAGAGTCTCCATGCATCAGCAGTGGGAGAAATGAATATAATCAAAACAAGCTTGGACGGCTCACAAGATACTTCTCAGATATCAGGCCCTGATGTGAAATCAACGCCTACTCCTCTTAGTCAAATTGGATTTTGTGACCCTGCAAGAATTGGCTGTGGACAGCAATTGACGTTGCTCAGTATTGATATGTAGATATATAGATGGGGTTTATTCAGAAGTAAACTGTTTCTGAAAGTACCTCATGTATATCTGTATTTCCATGTCTTTCAGGCTGCAGATAAGGAAGCATTGAATCTCCTAAAGTGGCTTGCAACTTCTCAAGCTGCAGAGGATATTAACTCTGATGATGAACTTATTCGTGAAACCATTTTGAGTCCCTTGTTACCTGCTACAACAATTGATAAGGTGCTGGAGAAAGCTAATATGGATTACGAAAGTGAGTCCCAAAAGGAGTGTCAAGATATTCTTGATTCCATTGACGATCAACTTCAGCTGGAGTCATCAAAGAGAAAGCCACCTTTTTCCTCAAATTTTAATTGTCCTGTTGAGTCTTCATCAAACAATATGATTCCCAAAGTTGATGGTTCTGCCGATGATGAGTTTGCAAGCCCAAGTTCTGGTTCAGAGGGAATTTCATTTGCACTGGACCAAAAAGGTGAATCCAAGAGGTCTTCCAAACACTGTATACTGCAAAATACCAGAACAAATACTTATAGCAAAGATAACAGGAATAAAGTATGGGCACTTTGCCATTGTCAATGACCCTAACAATTTTGATCATGCTAGTTTACATTGTGGCCATACTTCTGAAAAGGAAACTGTAGAATCTGTTGACTCAGATTGTTTGGCCAGAAATGAGATAGAGGAATAATGGCATAAAGAATGGGGATGAAGGTGTTTTCAGACATAAAAGGAGTACAAACACTGGATAATTGCTCTGTGCGGGACTTGACTTGAGGAGAAAAGAGATGCTATCGAGTTGAACAAGCTGACAGTGAATCTGAAATAACTAAAAAACTACATTTAGATGGGGATGAGAAACTCAAAACTGATGGAGAAACAGAAGTCCAGAAGAGCTGTGTCCTGAAAATGACCAATCATGATTTAGTGTGTAGGAAAGCACCCCTTGTAGCTGGCAGTCAAACCGGACTGAGTCTCTGTGGACCGAAGAAGTTTCACTCTACTAGTTCTTCTGATTACTCAGAGGTTTCCAGTGGTAAAAAGTTTAAGGTTGACTCAACACATGTACAAACTGACAACTGTCCACAAATTGACATGGCAGCCTTAGGTAGTGTGCAAAGCTCTTCGATTGAGAATATACAGTCTGTCAGAGATAATTGCATGTATAAATGTCCTTATGGAAGCAAATCTTATGAGCAACACGGTCAGATGAGGTCATGTGATATTGTTGTGGGTGCGAATACTGCAACTGACATTCAAGTATTGCAATGTGTAAGAAGTGATGGCAAAAGACCTAGAGAGAATTTGGGTTTTATGAGACTAGTGGCATAGAACCTTCGATCAATGACATTATGGGTGATCACATGAGATTAACCTCTACAAGGGCATCTGCCATGGCAGGTAGGAATCCCTGATGTAATGTGTTTCTTGCCAACCATGCCTGGTTCCATATGCCTGTGATATCTGTGTAGTGTGCCTTTTCTGTCAAAGTTGGAATGCAATCTCACTGTGCTAATTCATTTGCCTTCTTTATACTTTTGTGGGGCATAGAGCCTGCCATTCTGAGGGTGCTTGGTATTTAGCCTTCCATAGGAAACATTGAAAGGGCTATGTGGAATTATCTACCTTTATGTGGAAATAGGATTATTGTTGCTAATATTTGGTTGCAACTCAGGGTAGCAAAAGTATGCAGCTTCTATCTTTTTTGCTCATGGTCTAATCTTGGTTCTGGATACATATGTTTCAAATGCTTGTTTGTTATTGTCCATAAAGTGTTGATGAACTAACGGAATCTCAGCACCCCCCCCCCCAGGCCAAAAAAAAAAAAACCTCCTGAACCTGGAAGTGACTAACTGTAAGTCTGTAACCATAATTTATTTTCTAAACTTCAGCTTTTTATAACAGAACACTTTTCTTAGTTTGTTCATTTTCTTTGTGTTCTTCAGCCTGATGATGCTGCCTGATCGATGAAACGTAGTAACTGACTATTACATTTGTCTGTTTGTTGAAGTGAAACCTCTGGATGATGTTTATTCCTGCTTCTGCTGGTAGTTACCAGAATGAGATGGAAACTTGGAACAAGCATGTCGCCGATAATGCCCCGCCCCGGATTCTAAGGGGAAAAGGGTCTTGGGTGTTGCCAAATACTATCAGAATGATGGCTCTCATCTATGCCTATTGAAACCCAAATTTTTGCCTCCTTCTGAGGGTAATGTTCGGAGATGGCTACTTTGTGACGAGAGAGGTATTGCTTAAATCATGTATTCATAACAAATTAAAGGATTTAGATCTTGTTTGGAAATACATTAAAAGTATAAAAAGTTCTTGCTGGCCTTCACATCTGAAAGGTATATTGTGTTCTTATTAGAGCAAAATTTCACGTTGCAAATTTTTTTAGGATTATTAAAACTATCTGAAAAATCATTTAGCATATTTTTGGTTGATCCTGGCTTCCGCTTTCCAGATCAAATGTTTCAACAATCTGATGCAAAGGAGAAGCATATGCCTAAATGGAATACAAGACCTTGTCTTATGTCTAAACATGTCCAAGATGTTGATTCTGAAAGAAGTCTCCATGCATCAGCAGTGGAGAAATGAATATAATCAAAACAAGCTTGGACGGCTCGCAGATACTTCTCAGATATCAGGCCCTGATGGGAAATCAACGCCTACTCCTCTTAGTCAAATTGGATTTTGTGACCCTGCAAGAATTGGCTGTGGACAGCAATTGACGGTACTCAGTATTGAGGTATTAGAAATCAAGCTTTTTCTTAATATTGGTGTATTTGCAAATTTTTTTGTAGTTGTTAGACGTCTTTTGAATTTTCATGTTAGGCATTTGGAGTCAAGTTTTAGTTGATTATCAAGGAAGGATAAGAGAGGGTAGAAGAGATAATGCTCTCTTACATTTCCGATGGGAATATTCATGCTTACGTGAATGTTTACTTGAGAGAATCAAGGAGAGGAATTATGCCTACAATCTGTTCCTAATCTCAGCAGAATCAAAAGAATCAAAACTAATGCTAATTGCATTAATTACAAATATTCATGGAATATAGTCTATTTATTCTTTGGCAGTGAGATACAAAAACTCCCACTGGAGCGTCAAATGACCACTCCTATTACTGATTGTGCCTATTTGATGGTGGTGATAACTCAATAATCAGCCATAATATCTGTTTCATTCTTTGGATGATTACGTGGTTATAGTTTTTCAGTTTATCACATATCTATTGTATCAGTGCCTTTTCCAATATATTGTTCTATACTTTTGAATAATATTTATTAAAAAACTAATATTTATTAAAAAAACTATGTATTTCTTGGTCCATTCGATTTATACATGTATGAAAAGATCAAAATCTTTTGCTCAAGTGTGGGTTTCCTATTTTGATCCCTTAAAAAAGTGTGGATTCTATTTCGTAACTGTTGCTTGATTTAAAAAGTTCAGAAGGTAAGTTTAAAAAAAAGTGTGGATTTTTTTGTCCTTTAACTATCTTTTGGAACTACATTTTCTATTTAGTTAGTTTTCCAATGAACCTCTGTCAGCTTTGTTACATAGGTCTGACTTGCTCGCAAAACTGGCAGGTTCTTGCAGAATCAAGAGGAGAACTTTTACCTGATCCCCAGTTTGATGCCATCAACATTGTAGCTCTTGGTTTTCAAAATGATAGTGACACTGTTGTTGATGTTCTCGTCCTTTTGCATTGTAAACTAGAACCTTGTCAAAGGTAGGGTGAAAGTGGTATGACTTTGCATTTGTCAACTAGTCGTTTTATGACTGACTCATTTTTTGTGGTTTCACACCTTTATGCCTCAATTAGAAATTATATCTCTCTTCTAAGTTCCAAACTTAGAATGTGTTTGTGAAATTGATATCCATGCTAATTTGTTTGCAGAAATTTTGTGAGTCTATCAGGCTGCAAGGTGTTGGTTTTCACAGATGAAAAGCACTTGCTAAAAAATTTATTAATATTGTATCTTCGTATGATCCAGATATTCTGATGGGTTGGGATATCCAAGGCGGTTCTCTTGGTTTTTTAGCAGAAAGGGCTTTGCATCTTGGATTAGGGTTACTTAATAGTTTATCTCGTACTCCATCTGACTCTTGGATTACTTCTGGTGATACTGAAACTTCTGAAAAGACATATCAGCAACTGCCGTTCCTGATATATCTAGTGCAGATGATGTACAAGAAAGTTCGATAATTGAGGATGAATGGGGACGAACACATTCCAGTGGAGTTCATGTTGGTGGCAGAATTGTGCTTAATGTGTGGCGACTTATCCGTGGAGAAGTTAAGCTCAATTTATACTCAGTTGAAGCTGTAGCTGAAGCTGTATTGAGGAGGAAAGTTCCTTCAATTCACAACAAGGTCCTAACCAAATGGTTTTCTGGTGGTCCTGGAGGAGCAAGGTATCAGTGTGTCAAATATATTACTGAGAGAGCAAAGCTGAATCTTGAGATATTAAGCCAACTTGATATGGTATGATAGCATGACTCGATAGCCCAAATTTTCTTTTATGGGTCTTTAGTGCACATAGTTTTGATAGCCTTTTTTGTGATATTCTCTTACAGGAGCCTTTTTAATGTTTGTCTTGTTGCATTGGAATATAAATGTGTTTACACTTTATTATAGCTCATTTTTCTAGCTAGTTATACGAGCTAATTTGTGGCTCATTCGATTCCTTAATTTGCTTCATAAAAGCTAACTTATTAATCTGAAATAAGTTAAAATTTCATTTTTGTTCATTTTTATTTTTGTTTCGTTCTTTTTATACTTTTGATTTTGATGTTTGTGATTCCTAATCATCTTTATTTCCTGGTGGGTTGTGCTGATTCTTTTTTCTTTTGTAGGTTAATCGAACATCAGAACTTGCTCGTATTTTTGGTATAGATTTTTTTTTCTGTTCTCTCCAGAGGTTCACAATACCGTGTCGAATCGATGTTTCTGAGGTTGGCACATACACAAAACTATCTCGCCATCTCTCCTGGGAATCAACAGGTTTGCATGATATTTTCCCTTCACAACTTATCTATCTGCGAAATGAGATACATGTGAATACATATCAGTGCTTTGATGTAAAATGTCCGTATGTTCCTATTGTAAACCGCATTCTTCTACACTGTTTTTTAAAAAAATCGGAGCTCTTCGGAATATGAGCAAGAATCTTAAACTCACATGCTAATAAAGCCAGGGAAGATCTCCAAATTACAATAAGAATTCAATCCTAAGCTGATTCTTGCAGTACATCATACTCATACGCCTATCTATAATGCAAAGAAAAATAAAAACTAACTAGAAAGCATAACTGACTACTGACACATCCCTAAGCCTAAGATACATTACCAACAATGAATTATCATAACAGATACACTCGCCTAAAAGGTCCTTAATATGCTACCGCCTAAAATCCTGAATTAAAGGCAAAGTGGTTGGTTTAATTAATAAGTCTCCTTTGAATGGCCAAGTCAGACCTCTACCCCCTTTCCCCACTTTTTCCGTTAGTATGTGTTTCACATGGTACCCATCACTGAAAAATTTTGACTTTATCCTACACTGTCATATGCTGGTCCAGTTCTTACTCTTGCCTAACATGATGTAATTTTTGAATTCAACCGTTGCAGTTTTCATCTTGTCTAGTTATGTGGTATTGCGTGTATATATGTTATAAGAAATCCTCATAATAACAGAACACGGCAGCAAACACAATGAAATGATTGGTCCTTGGATGAAGTTTATATAAGAAAAATTATTGTTTACACAATCATTTTATCGAGAGACAAAAATTGTTTAATTATCATGCAATGTTTGCTTTCTTCACTTGACTCATCATTGCCTCATTTAAGGTTGCTTCTCAACCTGCCATGGAGTGCCTGCCTCTTGTGATGGAACCAGAGTCAGGATTTTATTCAGATCCGGTTATTGTATTTGACTTTCAGTCATATATCCATCCATGATAATTGCATACAACCTTTGCTTTTGTACGTGCCTTGGCAAAGTTGTGGCATCAAAAGAAAACACGCTTGGGGTTAGTTCATTTTCACCAGAGCAACATGTTCTGCGGGATCTAAAAGATCAGATTTTGCTTACTCCAAACGGTGTTATGTTTGTTCCTTCGAAGGTGATTTTGTCAAATCTTTGATACTCTGCTGACTATTAACCGGTGTTGAATGGCTGTCTGCCATCTGAATTATATTTTATTTTATGTTTTGACCTGAATGAATACCATAGGTTTGACAGAACTGTTTTTTTTCCCTTATAAATATCAGGCTAGTTTGTATTTCAGCTGATCGTCATCCTGAAGTCATGCAATTATTTCTTTGTCAAGCCTCTTTTCAACTGTCATGCATGTGAACTTTTATTGTAAATGCGATCAGCAAGTCTTTTATTTGTATCCTTTAAACTTGTGACAGCAATCTTATGGTATAAGTGTTTCATACAGGTTCGTCGAGGTATACTGCCACACTTGTTGGAAGAAATTTTATCAACTAGGGTAATGGTGAAACAAGCAATGAAAAAGTTGGCTCCTTCACAGCAAGTCCTTCAGCGGGTGTGGATGTGAATTTGATTTTAACATTAGCTTTAATCTTAAGAACTTTTATTTGTGCCAGTACATGTCAATATGTTATACATTTCATAGATTTGATTCACTTGCCATGGGAGAGTTTGTGATAGATCTCTTTCTCAATTTATTGAAGAATATGAAAGGCTTATGCCTGTAGAGGAAAAATGGAGGGGGACACCTAGAGGGATAGTTATGATATAGGTTTGCATTGCATTTTTTGAGTAGTTGGACATAATTTTTTGGTTTAGAACCTTCATTCCAGAGAGGGGGATATCAAGATCTGTGCTTGAGAAAGTGGTGTTAGGAGAGTACTACTTGCCCTCAAAAGCCCGCTTCAGTGCCCTTATCACGTTGCATTCTACATTTTGTGTTGAGCTTTATGTTAATATTGTTGCGAGCACTAGTTAGGGAGCTTCACTGGTTCGTAACAGTTTGTAAGTGGTTCTTGTATGTGCACCATATGGACGTAACTTGAAAGTACTACAATCTCTGTTTCAGATATTTAATGCAAGACAGCTTGCTTTGAAGCTTATATCAAATGTGACATATGGCTACACTGCTGCTGGATTTAGTGGTCGTATGCCTTGTGCAGAGCTTGCAGACAGTATTGTTCAATGCGGCCGTTGCACGCTGGAAAGGGCTATATCATTTGTAAATCAGCATGATAAGTGGAACGCAAAAGTCATTTATGGAGATACTGATAGGTATTGCTGCAGTATTTCTAACTTGTGGTTTGTGTGCTGTACAGGTTAAAATACATCGATAGAAATAATAATTTTGTTAAAGATAAGTAAGCAGTACAAAGAAATGAGGAGTAAAGGGGGGCTCTAAAGAGCCTTCCAATCCCTCTGTAAAAATCCATAAGGAAACCACCTATTCTCAAAAAAAAAAAAAAAAAAAAAGATCATTTGCTGAAACTCGGAGGCCAAAAAAGCAACTCCGTCCACAGCAGATAAGAAGGCAGAACTTTTTCATTAGACACTCGCATTCCTTTCTAACCAATAACGCCCATATTAAGCCAAGATAGCAAACTGTGAAATAGCTTTACGCTCTTTCCAACCAAAGCTAGCGAACAGTTTAGATATAACTTGAATGGTCTAGAGTTTGTTTTTGATTTAATTAATTATTATTTTTTGAAGTTGGTAATTGAAACTTATTTTTGTTGTGTTGTTCCATTTCCTTTAAAACGGGGGAAAAAGCCAACATGAAAAGAGATCTTAAAGTCATAAGAATCTGATTGATGAGGTCATTGGTCAAAAAGCCAGCAGATTTTCTGGATGCACCTGTTGCTCCCGAAAATACCAATGACCTACCTTAAATCTACCCGGTGACTGCAACTGCAAAATCACATTACATGTACGGGAGGAGAAAAAGATCTAAATTTAGACAAATGATCAGTATTTATTATTTTAAGTGATATTAAATATTGACCTCACTCCTATCTCTTTTATGGCTGTCCTTATGTTTTTTCCCCCCGAGAAATAATGTCATAAAGTGGCTGTTCTCATGCAGCATGTTTGTTCTTCTCAAAGGACGCACTATTAAAGAATGTTTCCAAATAGGGAGTGAGATTGCTTCTGCTGTCACCGCTATGAATCCTAGTCCTGTCACCCTGAAGTTGGAGAAAGTTTATCAGCCTTGTTTCCTCCTTACTAAGAAGCGGTATGTTGGTTACAGTTATGAAAGCCCTGATCAAGGTGAGCCAGTTTTTGATGCTAAAGGTATTGAGACAGTTCGTAGAGACACGTGTGGTGCAGTTGCAAAGATAATGGAACAGTCTTTGAGGCTCTTTTTTGAAAATAAGGATTTATCGGAGGTAGAAATGCTTGCTGATTTATTTTGTTATCTTTTTCGTGGGACTTAGTGAATAGTTCCTTTGTCATGTATTTTTATTTTGCTATACTTTGGGCAGAAACTATTGTTTCGATATTGTAATCACACTTTCTAGAGTTTGCTCGGTTTTCTTGATGGAAATGATCTCCGCTTTTCTATACCTTCCAATCCTCCCCTCTTTTTTTTTGTTAAAAAATTCTTAGGATTTTTGTTAGGTGAAAATAAATACTTAAAAAAAGAAGATTTCAGGTAATTGTTCTGAAAAAGTAACAATATTAGTTTTGCCTGGATTGCTGTCATTCACCTTGTTTTCCTCTGAATGCAGGTGAGAAGTTATTTGCAACGTCAGTGGAAGAAAATTCTTTCGAGCAAAGTCTCCATTAAAGATTTTGTCTTTGCTAAGGAGGTTCGTTTAGGTAGCTATAGTGCAAGGACATCATCTTTACCTCCAGCTGCAATTGTTGCCACCAAGGCAATGAGATTTGACCCTAGGGCAGAACCGCGTTATGCTGAGAGAGTACCTTATGTTGTAATCCACGGAGAGCCTGGAGCCCGCCTGGTTGACGTGGTTGTGGATCCATTGGAAGTTTTGGCACTTAATTCCCCACTCAGAAATAAATGACTTGTATTACATCAATAAACAAGTAATACCTGCTTTGCAGCGGGTGTTTGGGCTTGTTGGTGCTGACCTGAACCAATGGTTCTTAGAGATGCCCCGTCCTTTAAAGGATGCACGTGTAAAGCATCTCATTGCTCCAAATTCACATCGAACGAGAATTGACTCGTATTATCTGTCAAAACATTGTATACTGTGTGGCGGGTTGGTTCAGGCGTCTGCACACATATGCATTCAGTGCTCTGAAAATGGAGTGGCCGCTGCAACGGCTGTGATTAGTAAAACATCAAAGTTGGAGCAAGAGATGCAGCATCTTGTTGCTGTAAGTAATTGTTTACTTTTTTTTAATTTAATCATTTGTTTCAAGGAATCAAGAAATATTTCACACGTCCCTCTTCCAGGCTGCTATTTTAGGTTCATTGTTGTTCTTGGGCTATTTTTATTGGAAACCTCATGTCTTGGACTCTTTATCATAGCAATATTGCTATTAAAGTAATTAAATTGTAATAATATCGCTCCTGACATTAAATGGATAAACAATGACTGTTAATTTTGCTGATTCAAAAATAAGTTTGACTCAAATCGTAGCAATATTGTCCTTGATGATAAGTCTGAGTTAGTGAAGTTAATGGTCAAGTTGCCCATTTATCGTTATGAGCAACTTTTCTATAGTTTAATTACTTTAAGTGCAATATTATTATAATAAAGAGTTTGGATATTGGGTGCTTTCTTCGAAAATAGTTCAAAAACAAAAATGAATTTTAACTCTTCTTTTTCCACTTCATTCATGCATGTGGAAAATCGACCCACTTAATGGGATGAGTCTTATTGTTTTTGTTGTTGTTGTTATTGTTCATGCATGAGGAAAAACAAACATGAACGTCCTGTGTAGTGCTGAAGTTACATGTAGTGACCATCTCAGTCAATTATCTGCTTCTCTTTATTTTCCTTTCCATGAATGCCATTTATCACTTAGCCCCCATGCGTGTCATTTATTGCGTTGATGTTCGTGTGTCGGTATGCTCTTGTAGATATGTGACCACTGTGGAGGTGGAGGCAGGTTTCTGGAAAGTGATGTAAAGTGCACATCAATTTCATGCTCGGTGTTTTATGAGAGACGAAAAGTTCAGAAAGAACTACTAGCGATGAACCATGTTGCTGCTGGTGCAGGCTTCTATCCGAAGTGCATGGTCGAGTGGTTCTGAGCAGTCAACTGTTGCGTTTGAGCCTCTGATATGTATGTATTTATTTGTGTATACGATTAGATTTTAGGAGGTTTGCCATATTTGGTTTTCCCCCTTATTCACAAAAATTCATGTTTCCGCATCTTTCTCAGCTACAAATATTCTTATATTAAGAAAAAAAAAAAAGAAGCAAATCTCTCTGCTTCATACGTGCGAAAATTATATAAAAAAAAAAAATACTCATTGTTTCAAATTATATAGTACTTTTGAAGGAGTTTTTCCGTTTCAAAATATAAAAAATTTTGGGTAAATTAAGGTTTCATTAAATGCAACAATTTTAATATTATCCTTTCTCTCTCTATGAGTAATTTATGTCCCTTTTTTTAATATGTTAAATGATGTGTATTTTTAAAAATTTATATTTTTGTTTTGAAAAGATAAAGTCATTAAGTGTATTTAATGGGGTTTATTGGTATGTGAAATTTTGTCTAAAAGTATTTTATAATTTAAAACGAAGGGAGTATTATTTTTAGCTTTGTTTGGGATGGGAGTAGAGTCGGGAATAAGGGTTGACTCTGGAGGGCTGGGCTTGGAGGTCCTGTTTAAATAAGGGTTTGAATTTTGAAAATGATTTTTTTTTTAAGTAATAAGGCTTGAGGGCTTGGCTCTGATAAGCTTTGTTAAAATAGGGTTCGAGCTCGGGCTGCCCTTCAAGTTTTTTTATATTATTTTTTTTGTGAAACATGTGTTTGAAGTCAATGACTTGCTCACATGATCTTATACGTATTATATTATTATTATTTTAATTTATTCTAACATTAATTTAATATATTTAATAAATATCAGTGTATAGTATAAAATTTTTAATATTTTTTATTTTTTTATAATTATTATATTTGTGTATTTTATAAAATAAATTATTTTTTAACCAAAATTTAAATTTTATTACTAGACTTTTATATGTGTGTTGTTTAATTTTAAAAAATTATGAAAATTTTGATTTTTTTAATTTTAAAATATTTTAATTAATTTATAATGTTTAATTTTATTTTATTTTTTAAAACAAGGTTTATAGGCCTAACCCCGAGTCCTTCACATAAAGGTTGGGTTTGAAAAATGAGGTTAAAAATGAGAAATCGAATTTTAGAGCTCAGACCATTTACAGTCGTGCCTGCCCGTTTGTCCAACTCTAAGATGGGAGTGGGTCTAGTTAATCCTAAATACTAATACTATCTACAGAAAGTGGCAAAAAAATTTCTTTAAAATATGCAAATGATAATCAAGTTCTGCAAAATGTAATAATTACGTTTAAGCCTCTTAAAATTTTTTTGACATTAATATCTTTTATAAAATGATTATAATGCTCCCAATTTAAAATAAGAGAAAAAAGGAGAACTTGTTATTTGTTATTCTGTTTTAGTCTTTACTAGATAAAAATAATTTTTATTTAAATTAAAGTAATCATTAATATTTACAATACTTGAATTTAAGTGATTCAATTTTTGCAAATGAGAAGTTCTAATTGCTTATCTCATTTTAATTATTGTATGGAAAAGTAATCATTAATAATACTTAAATTTTAGTTATTAAAAAGTTTGTAAAATAAAACTTGTCACTTGCTATCCTATTTTAATTTTATCAAAAAACAAAGTTGTTATTACTCAAATTAAAGTATTACTTGTGTGTGCATTTCTTTTTATATTTTAAATCAGAGGCATTATATTTATTTCATAAATGACATTAATGTCTGATAGGTTTGAAAAGCATTGAGAAGAATTATCATATTTTAAATGATCTTATTATCATTTACATATCTCAATAGGATTTGTGTCAAACTACCTACGAAGTAGAGCTGGTAATATGAGCCTGCAGGTTAGCCCATTGTGAGTTGTGGGTTATGCGGTGCGGGTCGGCTAACTAGCATCTTGACGGGTTGTGTTTTTGCCCAACTATTGCTCCTGACATTAAATAGGTAAACAATGACTATTAATTTTGTTGATTCAAAAATAAGTTTGACTCAAACCGTAGCAAATATTGTTCTTAAAGTAATTAAATCATAGCATATTGTCCTTGATGTTAAGTCTGAGTTAGTGAAGTTATGTCAAGTTTGCCCATTTATCGTTATGAGCAACTTTGCTATGATTTAATTACTTTAAGGTGCAATATTGCTATAACAAAGAGTTTAGGACATTGGGTGTTCCTACGAAAATAGTTCAAAGACAAAAATGAATTTTAATTCTTTTCTTTTTCCACTTCATTCATGCATGTGGAAAGACGACCCCACTTAGTGGGATGAGTCTTATTGTTTTTGTTGTTGTTGTTCATGCATGAGGAAAACAAACATGAACGTCCTGGGTAGTGCTGAAGTTACATTAGTGACCATGACCATCTCAGTCAATTCTCTGCTTCTTTTATTTTTTTCCTTTCCATGAATGCCATTTATCACTTAGCCCCCATGCGTGTCATTTCTTGCGTTGATGTTTGTGTGTCGGTATGCTCTTGTAGATATGTGACCATTGTGGAGGTGGAGGCAGGCTTCTGGAAAGTGATGTAAAGTGCACATCAATTTCATGCTCGGTGTTTTATGAGAGACGAAAAGTTCAGAAAGAACTACTAGCGATGAACCATGTTGCTGCTGGTGAAGGCTTCTATCCGAAATGCATGGTCGAGTGGTTCTGAGCAGTTAACTGTTGCGTTCAGCCTCTGATATGTATGCATTTATTTGTGTATACGATTAGATTTTAGGGGGTTTGCTATATTTGGTTTTCGCCCTTATTCACAAAATTCATATTTCCCCATCTTTCTTAGCTACAAATATTCGTATATTAAAACAAAAAAAAAAGCAAATCTCTCCACTCTATACGAGCGAAATTATACAAAAAAATATACTCCATCCAGCTCAAATTATAAGGTATTTTTTAAAGAGTTTTTTTATTTCAAAATATAAGAGATTTTGAGTAGATAAAGGTTTCATTAAATGTAACAATTTTAATATTATCCTTTTTTTCTCTATGATTAATTTATGTCTTTTTTTAATATGTTAAATGATGTGTATTTTTGAAGATTTATATTTTTATTTTGGAAAGATAAGGTCATTAAGTATATTTAATGAGGTTTATTAATATGTAAGATTTTATCTAAAAATATCTTATAATTGGAACGAAGGGAGTATTATTTTTAGAGCTTTGGTTGGGATGGGAGAAGAGTGAGAATAAGATTGTTGGACCGTGGAGGGTCGGTTTAGAGGGCTTGTTTAAATAAGGATTTGGGTTTTGAAAATAATTTTTTTAAAAGTAATAGGATTTGAGGGCTTGATCCAGATAAGCTCTATAAAATAGCACTTGGGTTTGGGCTATCTTTCAAGCTCTATTATACTATTATTATTTTTTGTAGAACACATGTTTGAAGCGAATGACTTGCTCACCTAATCTTATACGCATTATATGATTAATTTAATTTATTCTAACATTAATTTAATAAATATCAGTATATAGTATAAAATTTTTAATATTTTTTATTTTTCTATAATTACTATGTTTATGTATTTATAAAAAATGAATTATTTTTAATCAAAATTTAAATTTTATTATTGAACTTTTAAATGTGTGTTGTTTAATTTCTAAAAAATTATGAGAATTTTGATTTTCTTAATTTTAAAATATTTTAATTAATTTATAATGCTTAATTTTATTTTATTTTTTAAAATAGGGCTTGCAAGCCTGACCCTAACCCTTTTCACATAAGAGTTGGGTTAAAAATGAGATTAAAAATGAGAAACTAAATTTTAGGGCTCAAGCCTTTTAGAGCCGTGCTGCCCGTTTGCCTAGCTCTAGATGGGAGTGGTTCTTGTTAATCCTAAATACCAATACTATCTAGGGAAAATGATAAAAAAAACTTTAAAAAATATGCAAATGATAATCAAGTTCTGCAACATGTAATAATTACTTTTAAGCCTCTTAAAATTTTTCTGACATTAATATCTTTTATAAAATGATTATAATGCTCCCAATTTAAAGTAAGAGAAGAGACAAGAACTTGTTATTTGTTATTCTATTTTTAGTCTTTACTAGAATAAAATAATAATTATTTAAATTAAAGTAATCATTAATATTTACAATACTTGAATTTAAGTGGTTAAATTTTTGTGAATGAAAATTCTAATTGCTTATCTCATTTAGTTATTGTATGTAAAAGTAATCATTAATAATACTTAAATTTTAGTGATTAAAAATCTTGTAGAATAAAACTTGTCACTTGCTATCCTATTTTAATTATTATCAAAAAAAAAAGTTGTTATTACTCAAATTAAAGTATTACTTTTTGTGCATTTCTTTATATATTTAAAATTAGAGGCATTATATTCATTTCACAAATGACATTAATGTTTCAAAGGTTTGAAAAGCATTGAGAAGAATTATCACATTTTAAATGATCTTATTATCATTTACCTATCTCAAGAGGATTTTTGTGCCATATTACCTACTAAGTAGAGCTGGTAATATGAGCTAACGTAGCACGCGGGTTGTGTTTCTGCCTAACCCGCGAACCCCCAGTGATATTAAAAATTATAAATTCACCTCTTTTTTATTTTTTGTAGTAAAAAAATTATGTTTTCTTCCTAAAAATAATTATCCAAATAATAATAAAATTCCTTCTAAATCATTAAATTTACAATCCAAAACTTGAAAATTTTTCTCAATCAATAATAATATTAAAAGCTTTGTCAAAAGTTGTAATAATATTAATTTGAGCTGATTTCTCTAAAGCTTTAAGTTATATTAATTATTTTTCATAATTAGTACTGGTCCCAAAATTATTACCAAGTACTGATATGTTCACTCTTTGGGACACGAGTGAGACAAAACTTGAAAAAAGAATAACAAGTTAATAACTAATTATCATTCAAAAGTGTAGAATATTATATATATATATATATATATATATATGAGCTGCTCTTTGCATGCCAACTTGTTAGCACTTTTAGACTATCATGTGACTCTGCCAAATAAGAAGGAGAAAACAATATAGTTAAAAAAAAAGGCTACAATAGGGAAGCTTATTTATTTAAATTAATTCATGGATTTGCATGGCAAGAGGATATAGGCTAGAGCTGAGGGCCTAAGTAACTTCAAAAGGAGGAGGATTGAGGTTGCTGGTCACCAGAGTTTGGACTGTGAGTTGCGATGGCAATGAGACGACACTAACAGCGACAATGATTACTCATAGTAAGGACTAAGAAAGAATGGAGGCAACTCTAAAGATGAAGAGTGAAACTAAACGAGGAGGCAAGGGTTTTGTTTTGTGTCACAAAGGTTTAAGAAGAGTCAAATTAAAAAAAACTTGCAAGCTAACCTACTAATTCGCGAATTAACCCGTTGCGAGTTTAAATTATGCGAGGTGGGTCAAAACCCAACTTGCATATAAGTGAACCTACTTTTGCTAACCCGCCCTTCTACTATTTAGCAGATTGGCAGGTTGAGCCTGCAGGTTCAATCTATATTACCACATTTACTATTAAATATGCTTGCATAAAAATATATTAAAAAAATAGAAAAAGTTATTGTTCACTTTAGGTTCAAATTTGAGAAATTCAAGACAGCAGTTTGAACTAAATTGACTAGTTTAAATGTCTAAAATCAAATTTTATTAGTCCTTGATATGCTTTTAATAATTTGGTTTTGTGTGATTAGTTTAATTTGGATTTTGCACAACTTCACATGTATGTTTGATTTCATGTTAAAAATTATTTAAAATATATTTTTTAATAAAGTAATAAGGGTTAAAGGACAATTTGTCTCATCAACTATAAACTCAATAGTGATTTAAACCCTAAACTCATCTTTTTATGTAATATTTTTTCCTCAACTTTTAAAGATGGTGTAATGTAATTTTTACTGTTAATGAAAGTTAACTTTAATCATCAAAACATAACAAAAAATAACAAAAAAATTACAAGAAATGATAACAAAAATTACAAAAAAGAATCCAAAAATTACAATGATCCAGTCTTTTTCTATTATTTTTTTGTTGTTGTCAAAGTTAACTTTTGTTAGCAGTAAAGATTATGTTACACAATTTTTAAAAATTGAGAAGGAACATTATATAAAAATAAGTTTAAAATTATTGACATTCTTGAACATATAATTTAAAAATAAAATTGTCACTTGTATACTACGGAATTGCAAACCAATGTGAGTTTCTATATATTATATAAAATATGACATGGTAAATAAATTATAAACACAAATAATATAATTTATCATCAATCAATCTCAAGTGCAAATTGTCGATGAGCAGTAGATTAACAGTGCGATTCCAAAAATGCTCTCCAGTTTTTGTCCCTTTTTAAGACCATGTAAATGACTAGAATAGTAAAATACCAAAACTGCTCTCCACTTATCAATGTTTTTCTTCTTCCCAGGCCTTCATTTTCCTCGTCATCAATGTTTCGTGTGGTGCCACGGCAGTTCTGGTCTTCTTTCATTAGCACGAGTCCCACCCCTTCAATTCACTTTACTTATGACTGTCTCACCCTCTCGTGTCTAGCTTTCTGTCCCCATTGGTGTGAGTTTCTATCTCCATGGATTACTTCCCTCATTATCTACCTCCTCACGTCTTCTTCACTGCTTCGTGCCATGCGACGAGCACTGTTGGTTTCTTGGGCCATACTTCAAGTTTGCCTCCCTCATTTTCCTTTGTCTGCTAACAAGATTTTCCTAGCCCTCCGGGACTTCTTCCTTGCATTGTCCCATTTGGCATACCTCCTATCCAATTTAAGACAATGTTTGGCAGTTTCTCTTAAGACGAAATGAAATGAAGTGGGATGACTAAAAATGTTATATCATTATTTGAAAGAAATTTTTTTAAAAGGAGTAGAGTGACTTGGGGACTGGGGTGGCATTTCAAGCCTGCATTTGCCATCCTACACCCATTTATCAAGGATGGAATGGTACGATATATGTAAAATTGTTACAAAATTACCCCATCCTTCTTACCTCCTCTCACTTTCTTACATCCTCTTACCCTAACACTGAAAAACATAACTATATCTAATTTAAATATATCATTTTATAATTATTCTTAAATAATTATCAAATAAAGACAATTTATTTCTCTAATAAACTTATAAACATTGAATTATTTCATTCCCTTTCATTCAAGCTCACTCTACTTACATTGAGAACAAGGTAAATTACCGTTCTCACAACATAGAATTCAGTCCTTAAACAAACTTCTTTTATACTTTGGGAAGTTATGCACAACATATCACTTCCTTCCACCATTTGTTTGGATAGAAAGACTTGATCTTTTTTCTTTAGATTTTGTATGGGTATTGATTTAGAGATAATATTTTACTTTATTTAGATGATTTTGGAGAAGAAAAGAATCAAATGTACGACCATAAATATGAAAGCATGTTGGGGATGCAATCATGTTGAATGATGTTCATTTTCTATGTGCAAGTGTATGCAAGTATTACTGTCATTCCAACCAATATTGCTAGATTCCTCTTTCTCTACTCCTACATTGTATTTGAGAAATTTACTACTATACTAATATGATACCATTAGAAAAAAGGATTATGTGGAAATTTGCTTCAAAAGGAAAACTTATCAGTGTTCATGGTCCTTGAGAAGAAATCAATATAATGATTGCAAGTTAGAGTAAACAATAATACTTTTTAATAAGATTTGGTTTGTTGCTTTATTTCTCTTGCCTTTGCTTACCTTTGTCATGAATCAATTCATTTTTTCCTTAAAGTTTGTTATGGAGGTCAAATTGATTCATTTTGATAACATGCTGGCTACGCAAAATGTATCTATTAAAAGCATAATTAA